CCCCCCCCTCCGGAGTAATGGACACCTCAGCCTCCGCCCCCCGCCCGCCCGAGCTGGGGAGAGGACTTGTTTTCATTCATAACTTTTTCCTTTTCCTTCCTCTCCGTCAACTATTTATCCAGCGCTCAGGTCTCGGAGCGCAGCGGGCGCGCTCCCCCGCGGGCCCGGCGAGGCTGCTGCGCGGCGGTGCGGCCCCGGCCCCGCGCGTCCCTGTCGGGCTGTAGGACGCGCTGCCCTCCCAGGTGGAGAGGGACGCTGTGCGGGCTCGGGAGGCTCTCGGGATCGGGGAGCCGCCTCGGCGGGGACGCGGACAGGGTTTGGAGAGTCCACGGCGACCCTTAGGCTATGAGGGGCTTGTCCGGAAAGGTATCGACTCCGATCGTGTTTTCTCGGGACGAGCGGTTCGCCCAGAGCTTGCGAGCGCGCTTGGGGGTGGATCGGGGACTGTCCCTGTCGGCCGAGGGGCTTTGCTTCACACCGGAGGGGGCTCGTTTTCTTTTTTATCTGGTCATCGACTTGGCCAGCCAGCAGGAACCAGGCGACCACGGTCATTGGAAACGCTGCTTCCAGGGGTGCCTGGGGTTTTTCCTACTCGCTCCAAATCCTTCTCCACCGCGTTTTCCTCCGTGTGTGGACTCCGACTGAGATCTTTTACACACTCTTTGCTTTCAAAACCCTGGTTTAACAAGTTCTGCGCGAGGAGCAGTGCTGTTGTGCAGAGTGACGATGGGCTGGTTTTCAGTCCTTCAGGGACTCCAGGGCTGAACCCTGCAGGTTGTGAACGTGTTTGTCCTCATGTACTGAGAAGGTGGAATAAAGCAGGAGCTTGGGAGAGTGAGGGAGGGAGCTGCAAGAAGTTAACGTGTAAGACAGTCTGGGGACACGCACGTTAGTCATTAGATGAAATGGACTTCTTTCTGCTTTCTTCCTTAAGCTGGTGTCTTTTGGATCAAGGTGTGGTAGTGGAGAATGGGCATTTTTGTTCTCCTTGAATTGGATCAATCTGTAGACTTGGGAAGGAATTTGTGTGAAAAGTCGTCTAGTTTACCACTGACTGAAAACGGAAACGTTTTTATGTTTAGTAGTTTGTTTTATGAAGAGTACATTATAAATTAGAAGCAATTTACTATTGGTAAGGAAACACAAATGCTTATTTTTATCAGGATGTTGCCGTGCCTGTTACAGGAAGCACATTGATTCAGAGTTGGCAGTGCTTTTGAAAATGAAGATCTGTCATGTATATACAGATTTTTAAATGAGAGGAAATGCAGATAATTAAAATGGCTGGAATTTTCCCATTACAGCTGTAAAGGCCAAACGCTTATTTGTGCATGCAAGTTATCTATCTCATTATGTGAGCGAGCCCTTATTTAAACTTTAAAAAATCTTTTATGATTTCAAATGTGAATTCCTTTTCACATGAACAGAGCTGTACATTGAGTTATGTGTGTGTGTGCACTTTAGTGGCTATAAAACATCAAGAGCTGCTGTATTCATCTAGATTCATTTGCATCTTGTACATTCATAATGAGCTCGCTTTAAAATCCTGATTGCTACAGAAAATGACTTCTTATTTTGAGAATCCATTTTAGTTTGGGATCTCCTTGATTTTTTTTTAATGCACGAGGTATACCTTGATTAATTTCCTCATTAATCTAATGCTTGTAACAGCAAACAAATGACAAAAAAGCAACAGCACAAAAGCCATTTTTTTTAAGTGGGGATTTTCCTTTATAGACAACACTATCGAGGTGACGCCTGAGGTTTCTATTCCAGCGCTTATACTCAATATTCCCTACAAGGGCATACTCCATTTTAATTCCTTTACATTTACAAACAGGAAGGCACTACTTCTTCTTGATTCTGCTTTTTAAAATTTGAAAAACCTTCTAACTTTTATGGCATGGGGTCTCTTGCTTACATTCTTCTTCTATGATGTGGTCCTCGGCCTCTCTTGGACTTGGACTCCGGCCAAGACCCCAGCATCATTGTAATCCGCTGATGAAGGCGATCATTACCAGGTGGTTTAGGTAATTTGTGACTTGACAGGGTTTTTCCCCAAAAAAAATACTTCCTGTCATTTATTTTCTCTCTCTGTTTTTTTCATGTTTGATTTCCTTTTAGGATTTCAGATGCATGCCAGGTTCCCACTGATTGTCAGATTTCGAGATCACTACACATGGATCCCCCAAGTCAACATGGCAGTGGCAGTTCGTTAGTTGTGGTCCAGCAGCCTGCACTGGGTAATCGGCAGAGGCTAGACTATGAGAGAGAGATTCAGCCTGCTGCTATTTTGTCCCTAGACCAGATCAAGGCCATCAGAGGCAGCAACGAATACACGGAAGGGCCGTCAGTGGTGAAAAGACCTGCTCCTCGAACGGCACCAAGACCAGAAAAGCACGAAAGGACTCATGAAATCATACCGATCAATGTGAATAATAACTATGAGCATAGACCTACAAGCCATCTGGGACACACAGGACCCTCGAATACTGCCCGAGGCCCCATTTTGAGCAGATCCACCAGCACTGGAAGTGCAGCCAGTTCTGGGAGCAACAGCAGTGCCTCTTCCGAGCAGGGGCTGTTGGGAAGGTCACCGCCAGCCAGACCAGTCCCTGGTCATCGGTCGGAAAGGGCAATCCGGACCCAGCCCAAGCAGTTGATTGTGGATGACTTGAAGGTTTCGTTGAAAGAGGACCTGACACAGCACAAGTTCATTTGTGAACAGTGTGGGAAGTGCAAGTGTGGCGAATGCACGGCGCCCAGGACCCTGCCGTCCTGCCTGGCCTGTGACCGGCAGTGCCTCTGCTCTGCTGAGAGCATGGTAGAGTATGGGACCTGCATGTGTTTGGTCAAGGGCATCTTCTACCACTGCTCCAACGACGATGAAGGGGATTCTTACTCGGATAATCCTTGCTCCTGCTCCCAGTCCCACTGCTGCTCTAGGTACCTGTGTATGGGAGCCATGTCTCTCTTTTTACCTTGCTTGCTCTGCTATCCTCCTGCCAAGGGATGCCTGAAGCTGTGCAGGGGGTGTTATGACTGGATCCATCGCCCAGGGTGCAGATGCAAGAACTCCAACACTGTCTACTGTAAGCTGGAGAGCTGCCCCTCCCGGGGTCAGGGTAAACCGTCATGATTTGGGGAGATGGGTCGGACCTCCTGAACTTCTAGCTTTCAAGCTGTGGCTGTTCCGGAAGATACTAGTAGATACTGGTTTTATTTCCTTTACAGTTTCTCCCTGTTCCCCGCCTTCTCTTCCCCTGTCCCCAAGGTTTGACTCATGGATTTTACTCCAGTGGATGGTCTTCAGGAAGCGTGGACTGAAACTGCACCTGGCCCCCACTCGGGACAGGCGCCTCTGCCCTCCCCTCGAGAGGGTGTCAAGAGCCAGTGGGGTTTTTGTGTAGCCTTTTTGTTCTGCAAGCAACGTGCCCAGGCGACAGTGATTTAGAGCTGGTTTTGATGGGGTACTCTGGGAGCAGGGAAGTTGGTTTTTAAAGAAGCAACCATTTAATTGCTTACATAAGCTATGTATTAAATCTCTCTCCAATTAGGACTGTCTTCATAGCATTGGCCCCTTAAGTAGCATGGGGGATATATTTTTGTTACAACGTAAATATTTTCCTTTTAACCACTGCCCTCCCCTGTCCCCTCAAAGTTCTCTCCCCTCCGTTTTGGCGTCATCTTCCAGAGGTGTGCCAGGTTATTTCTTTTTTTGCCTGTGTAATTTTAGATTGGCTTTACGATGTACATCTTCACATTGGAGATATATTGGTTGTATCTGGCTTATCCTTATTCTAGCTTTCATGTTTCCGAAGGACTCAGCTGCCTTCCTTCCACATCCCATGCTTTTCACCAAATTTCTCTTGTCATTGAGGGCACTTGGATAACTGAAGTTAATATTTATAGCTGATCAGTCTACAGGTGTCACAGAACTCTGCTGCCTTAAAGTGATCTGGGTTCCTTGATGGTCCTTTTGGCCCCTTGGTTAGTTAACAGTGGAGTAATTCTAATTTTTTCTGTGTTTTCATTGCCTTAACCACAAATTGTGGTGCTTTTTGTATATTTTATGTATAAATCACAAAGTTGAATTCTGACTATTTTTAAGACAAAAGTCTGTTAAACTTTTTTATTGTAAAGAATATTTATTATGCGAATCTCTATTATTTTAAGATATTTATTACAAAAGACTGTTGAAATGTACTCATGTCTGAATATAACAAAATATCAATACATAACGGAAAATAAGGTGACACGAAGAAAGTACGTATGTTAACTATAATGCAGAAAATATATTAATTAATGAAACTGTCTCTTGAATCATTTATTAGCCTGTAGTGTCATGGTGATTTTTGTCATTTGCTTTGACTCTTCATTCACACCCATTTTATTTCTTTCCCTTAACGTACTGAATCTAGACACAGGTGAGCTCAAATTTTGAGCTACACGTTTCCTCGAAAAGGCGTTAATCAAAATTTTGTAATCCAAATTCTGTTTCAACAAATTCCCAAGTGAATCACTGTGAAGTGAAAATTTTTTGTAATTAATATTAACAATCACTCCCTACTTTAGCTATTTTGTAAGCAAGAGGTTTTGTGGATGTTGTAGTTTCTTAGAATGGGACATATCTGGAAGTTTTAAGAAATGTTCATAACTCTTGGGTTAATTAGAAATTAATCTTCCTTTGCAGACTTAGGTCTGCAGGTATGCTTGGCATCTCAGCACTGTCACTTTAATAAAACATTCTGGAAGTTAGAGTACACCAAGAAAGTAGTTCACATTATCAAAGAGATGTTTTAAAAACATTCCTGTCCCTACTTTTTGCTTCCTTGTAATAAGTCTTTAATGTGGCCTGGTCAAATTATATTTTATCATGTCCTGTGGAATAAGAAATCTGAGGGTCTGAAACTTTGTATGGAAAAAGTAAATTTTTTTTTTATTTTTTAGTCTGCTGACACCACCACAGCTAGAATCTGTGGGTCTGATAAAATTTGGTTCCAGTGGATCTTCAGACTCAGTGTCACTAACTCCCCATGCCTAAGTGATGTGTCAAACCTGGATAACGATCTGCGTTTGAGAAGACCATTTTGACATAATTTGAACCCAGGATTTAGGCTATCAAAACTCACCCGGTCTTTCTGATCTGGTTGGTACCTCTTAAGATAGGAGCTTTTGTTCTTTGTAAATAGGCTTTAGTTTTGTTTTAAGTAGACAAAACATGAGTGATAGAAGAAGCTTGTTTTAGTGCTGTCTGATGAAGCCATGAAACCTATTAGTTGGCATTGTGGCATTTGATATAATCCAATAGTTTATGCTCTGAAGGCATATGAATATTTGTGGTTTTGGAGTCTACTTCATAATCTATAGTGTTTTAAAATGTGAACTTCTTTTCTCTCGCACTCATGTGATATCACTGGTCCCTTAATACTGAGTATTTCATTGAGATTTGGCTCATAATGAAGTGTATAAATACACTCTCCCTCAAAATACTCTGTCACTTTGTTCTGTTACTTACTGTTCAGACCCTTGGTATAATTAGGAGTTGGTGGAAGGGCTGTCTGTAGTTATACTAACCAGACTAAAAAGCTGTAGTTTTTATTGAAAGAAATGTATAACTTTTATGAGAATGAGGTATGCTGTGGAGTTTTAACTTCTGGCTTATATGCAGAATGCATGAAAATTACAATATTAAGATGGTGGTCTGCTGCTCGCTCTGTGTCCGCCCTCTGACATGCTGATAGGTTAGAGGTTCAGACTTCGACAGGCTCGTCAGGTGGCAAACCAAAAACACTTTGATTCAGAACTTCCTCCTTTGTGATGGTTTAAACTTGGAAGGAAAAAATATTAGGGTGTGTCCTCATAAGTGCTTATGAGTCCCTAGGCTTTTTGAGTCTAATACAGATCGTCATTTTAAAGTGCTAAGGCTTGGAAAGCATCAGCAAAACTGGAATTTCTTACAATACGACTGCCATGTATTTGATACTGCCAAATGGAAAAGCGTGCCAGATAGGTGGGCCAACCTTTTCTTTTTATTCCACGTTTTGTCCCTCTCCCTCAACCACTGCAGCTTGACAGAAGGAACATTTTTGTTAAAGAGTTCCCTAGCAGCATATTTTCTGACTGCCAATTTTTTTGTTTCAAAAGAGGTTTTTTTCTTCAAGATAATTTAATTGTGAATAAAACCAATACCGGATTTCTGTAATTGAGTAGTTTCCTGTCAACAGAATTTATAAAATGTAACCTAGCAGAAAAATGAAATGTAGATAATGCTTCTCTTTTTGTGATGGCCTAAGGTGAATCCTTAAATTATAGTCTGTTATAATTATTTTATGGTTTTCAAAATCCAAACCATAGACCATTCCAGTTATGACTAAGAAAAATAAAAGTTAAAAAACAGTGGTCTTAAAGTGAAAGGAAGTAAGTTAAAAACTAATCATGTTTTTCCCCTAAGGTTGGTATTGGAACCACCAAACTCAGAGGATTCATTTCTCAGAAGATGAATTTAATTTCTGAAATTGTCTCCTTTTCCTAAAAAAAAATTTTTTTAAATAGTGTTGTATTTCATGGTAGTTTTTATGCATGCTCTTTAGCAAAAAAAAAAAAAAAAAAAATTGCAATCCCTTGTTGGAACACTGAAACACTGAAACAAACAGAAAAAAAAAGAGTGTCTAGACAGTTCTCATCTTAAACTCTACACCATATAGATTTTTTTTTTTTTAATGGCAAGAGATTTTGGAGTCTTTTCAATATCTAGAAAACAAAACTCTAAGTCTTTCTTTTGGCCAATTGACAGATGGCTGTTTTTTCCATTATTTCACTGATTAGCTATAATTAAAATAGCCGTGTACTTAAATGATAAGTTGTTATAATAATTCTAATATTCTTTCAGACTATTACCAAGCCGCATTGCCCATTTGTCAAATACCTACCATGTGCATTATTCTATATGCAGAAGAATTCTAGAGCTAGGACTGGATCTCAGAGTACATCTCGCTTCGTGTGTCTCAAGTATGTATGAAAACAAATAGGTCACCAGCTAAAAAGTTACAAATTCAGTTGTCTGTGTGGTAGCTCAGACCCACCATATCAGAAAAATCTCCAGGGGAGGAGCTTGGGGTTCTGTAGTTTAAAAAGCTGCTTGGGTGATTTTACCTGGCGTTTGGGGACTGCTTTCCTAACTTGATGTCTTCATTTTGAGGGTGTTGAAACGAAGGCCTGGCTTGAGAAGATGAGCTGTCCCTGAGAGCCAGGGCAGGGCCAGGAGTCACTGCGTTCAGGATTTTCCTCATTGCTCAGCAGCGAGCGCAGGACCTGCGCGCTGCACGGTAATCTGCCATTCCGTCTACCTGCCAGCTTTCCCTTCCGAATTCATATATTTGACCATAATTTAGGAAACGGAATGTTTTCCTGCATACATGATGTGTGCTTAGCTCTCAAGGAAAAGTAGCAAATGAGCTCATTGCCGTGATTATTTTTCGTATGTTAATAGTAAAGTTAACTTCATTTGAAAGCTGAGCTTGTGTGCTTCCCCTGGCCAGGTTTATATGGTGATTATAGAACAAATGGATTTAATCAGTTTGTAAAAGGTATAGTAACTTGGCCTCTAGATATAAGAACTTGTGTGATGGTATTTCTTAACCATTATTCTGATTGCGTTTGGATTATAGTGATTAAAAAGCAGAGTTAAATGTTCTCTTTTGTACTATTAAAAAGATTGGTATTATCTGTAAGAAGATAGTCAAACCATACTAGATATGGCAATAAATCTAACTGCAGAAACTATCAGAGAACCTAGAACTGTTTGGAATTGGGTACTTTGGGAAAATATACTAGAAGCATTCGCCAGTAGTCCAAGGGCTTATCTTGATAAAATAGTCAAATAATATAATTTTAATGCCAGAACGAAATGCAGAGGTCAACTAACCCATCTTCTTTAATTTAGAGATGAGAAAGCCATGTTCAGAGAGGTTCCTCACCTAAAGCCAGGATCTAGTTGCCAAAAATAAAACTTTATAAAACCCAACTTGTTGCATTTGTACATGTGGTAAATGGTGGGAAGCAAGGAGAGGTTGTTGGCAGGGAGGATTTGAATGAGTTTCAGGTTAATTTATGTCATAAAATAGAACAAATTTGTTAAAGCACCATGGACTAATGATAGGCCAAGGCAAAGAATTAAGGGCCATAGAAGGGAGTCAGAGAAAACTAGCTGAATAAGTGTGAGGTAAGAAAACAAGGTGTGTGTTTGGGAAAACTAAGTTCCAGTTTGGCTTGCAGTGGTTCTCAGCTTCAGCTGTACATTAAAATCACCTGAGAGAAAAAGAAAAAACAACAACAAACAAAGCCTGTGCTAGAACCTAGCCCAGGCCAGTCAGCCAAAATCTGGGGGTGGGGATTTGGCCTTTTTTTTTTTTTTTTGTCCTAAAAGCACCCCAGTTGATTCTAGGGCCCGGCCACAGTCTGGGGCCTCTAAATTCAATTATAGATCTGTGTAGGGGAATTGTGGGAGATTAAAATGGCAGATTTAGGAAAGGAAGCCAGAGGTATTAAGGGTCAGAACTAGCTTAGAGGTTAATAAGATTGGGACGACGGGGGTCAGTGTGGAAAATGGTACGTGGGAAATCCGTAGGACTTTGCAGGTGTTTGTATGTGGGCTTGAGATGGAGGGAAGAGTTAAAAATGATACAAGCTTTTGGACCTAGGTGAACAGATGCCGGGAGCCGGCTGCGCCTCCGTGTCTGACATGGCCAAGCGCACTGCAATTGTGACAAATTCTGAAGCTTTGACTGAGAAACAGACACTGCTTTATATCTTAAAGAATTTAAATTCCCCTTTGGATGCCCCCCCCAGTAAGACGAAGATCTTACACCCCTTCTAATATATCACAATAATTATATTTTATACACTAAAGGTAATTTTAGTCACACTACTAGTCTCTTAGTAAAGGTCAAAGTACACACCCTGTAAATCTTAAGATCCTGCTTAGACAATAGTTTTTAGAATAAATGTTGGGTGGTCATGGTAACCATCCTTTAGGCGATTATGTAAAGGCTCAGGCCTTGGTCGCAGTCATTGTAGGTGGAGGGATTTGGGCGTAGTTGGGATAAATTAGTCTTTAGCATAGAAAAGGTATAGCTGTACCCTGGAGCATAAGAATTATGAGGAAGTAAAACCCTGATACTAATGGAACAGTGGTTAAACTGCCTGGTATAAAAAAGGGCATGCTGTAAAAATAAAGTGAGACACCTCTTCTTGAAAAAAGCGCTCCTGTGTCACCGACTCCGCCTCCACCTGAGGGAACCCCTGGACCTGCGCCGCAAACAGGTAAATGGTAGTTCTGTTAAAAAACAAAAATGGGTGAGATTTGTTTAGGAGGTACGTGGGTTGGGAAAAGTTAGGTGTGTAGGTGAGTTGCCAGCTGGTTCTTGGGAGAGAAGTCTAGAGTTTAAGAGAGGTGGGTGATGGCCTGGCATCCATCCACATGGGGGTGGTGGAATCCAGCATAGACCTCTAAGGGAAAGGAATGGAATTAAAGCAGGCTAGGAACAAAACTTTGAGGAACGTACCTACATTTAGAGGATATAGTGGGGACATAGGGCCAGTAGATAAGAGGGGTGGTCAAAGAAACATAGGCACCAAGAGATTGGCATGTTTTAGAATCTAAGGAAGACTTTCAAGATGGAAGTTAATGATTAAATGTCAAAAGCTGTGGAGACTCCCAATTAAATTTGGTGGGTGCTATTTAGGTGAAATGATGGGACTAAAAGCCAGGTTGCCTGGGATTGGGAAACAGGTGGGTGGTAAGTACATGCCCGTAACAGCTGGGGCTAATCTAGAACTTGTGAAATAGGCAAGTAACCAGAGGCAGGTAACAGCTGAGGAGGATTTTTAGAATAACAGAAACCTGAGCCTTATTGTAGGAAGAGAACAAGGGCAGTTGGGAAGGAGAGATTGGGGTGGAGGAAATGGCGGAAAGGAACACAGTTCCAGAAGTGAGAGGACGGATGGAAGAGAGCAGGAAGGGGTGCTTTCACCTTGGCAAGAAAGCTTGTTCGCCCAGAGTAAAGAATAAAAGACGAGAACGGAAGACAGTGTCACTGAAGAAGGAAGGTGCAGAACAGCTCTCTGATTTTGGTAAGTAGAGGGTGGTCCTCTGTTGATAGTTAAGACGGGTCAGAGACTGAATTTGGTTGGTTCTTGAGAGCAGAGGTCTTGAATGGCTTGACATGGCGATGCTAATGCACAACCAGAGCTGATGAAGTAAAGAGCAGTGCAGCGAGCTCACCTTATGTCGAACAGGTAATTGTTTTGTGCGTGGGGGCCATTAAATGGTTTTCAGATTTTATTGAGACACTCCTTGCAGCAGCTGGTTGGTGGGGCAGTTAAGGCCGAACATAAGGGGACAGTAAGACATGTTGAATTGGAAAGAGGAATTTTAAGGCAGTAGTCTGAGTATTTGCTAAAATGACTGGCCTGAAGAATTGGATTAAGCCGCAGTGAGGATGAGTACAGGTTGACAGGCAGACAAGCTGAGGACAGAGGAGAATTTTTAGGTCAGGCTCTTAGGAGGTGGGCCGTTTTGAAATGCTGAGGAAACCTGGGGTTTCTCTGTGCTGATGGGTCGCTGAGGTAGAAAAAAGGTTTTTTTGGGAGCTAAGGATGAAGAGGAGGAGAAAACAGGCCCATGTGTTAGAAGAGCTGTTAATTTAGGTATTAAAAATGCCAGAGGTGGAAGTGGAGAGGAAACTTTAGAGGCTGGTGTTTATGTTTGGAAAGGATGTGTTTAGACACTTTTAACATGTTTTTAAGTTTATGGATTATAAATGAAGTAATTAAGATCTGATTACAATGCAAGATTTCTTAATAAGGAATGAATTAACGGAGTAGAATTTACTTCCAATGCGATGTGCTCCATTAATAGCACAAATGGTCTATTAACAAAATGTGTTATTGAATAAAGAAAATACCTTCATGAAAATTGATTGACCAGTCAATTCAGTCAAAATACCACATGGAGCCAAAAGGCCACCTGCTTTCCCCATTGCCTCTGGGAAGCTTTTGTGCACTTCAGAAAGCAGAAAGCCAAGGAATTGGGTCCAAGGTTACTTCTGTCTACCTCACAGAGTGCGCGTATTGCTGTGGAAGCGGTGAGTGAACCTGAGTCCGTAATGGAAGCACATTTTCTTCTTCTCACCACCTGGAATCCGCTTCCTTCTCTGAGTGCAAGAGAGGTCCACCTGTATAAAGAAAAGTGTTAGTGGCTAAAGAGTTATTTACAGTGTCTGTGAAGTTCTCACTGGTTTCTCTGCTCCTGGAATTGCCTCTCATTTCCTCTTTGTGTCTGCCTTTGGCCATTTTTAGCTTTTGTCCTTTAGTAGAAGAAGCACAATTCAACTCTGGAAGATAAAATAAAGATGAAACTAAAATATCCCGGTTCAACGTCTTGCCATCTGATATCTAGAACAGTGCTTGTTACACTTGAGTAGGAGCTCAGTGAACATTTGTTGTTGGCTGTCTTGCTAGATTGATTCTTAAAAGCTTCAGACGAAGGGGAAATGCTGAGATTAATGGCCAAATTGAATTTTTGTTTTTGCAGGAGTTTCTGATACTGGTT